CACGTCACTCAACTGGCCACAAGGTGGCGGTATTTGCCTTAGAATGATCTTTGTTTTGGTTTTGCGTAACACTGAACCAGATAACAACTAAGCAGCTACCACATTAATCCCCAAATTGGCTTTCCTAAACAGACAAAGCAGACACTTTCACATAGTATATGCAAATTGCAGTCATACTTGGAAAGAGAAGAGAATGACATAGACGGACCAGAATGTGACTCAGCAAGAGTTTACTCCAGAAAAAAAATGCATCATGGGAATACTGCAGTGACATAACAGCCACTGGATAGACCTGGCCTGGGGGAGGAGAGTTCAGCAGCTGATTGGTGTGGAGGGCAGAGGGGTGGCTGTGAAGGCTCACCATAGCAACTCTGCGCTGGAGAGCGCCTTTCACAGGCAGTGATCTGGAACCTGTGTGTCTGTGTGGGTGTGTGGGTGCGTGTCAGTCAGAGTCAGCAGCCGTGTGGAGGGTGAGCTGATCGGCCCTGCGCGCAGCACGCCGCACGGGGACTGCCCGGGTTCTGACCCGCTCTCCCGCCACTGCAGCCAGCTGGATTTGTGAGGAATGCGAGGCATGAGCGTGGCGGCGAGAATAATGGCCGTAATCTGCCGCTCGGAGCGGAGCGGGAGCTTTCCCTCGCTCCGAAACCTACCCCCTCCGTCTGACCGAAACCCAGCTGCCCCCCCCGCATCACCACCGCTGGGGCAAATACACCCACTCTAACCACGACCAAAACTGCTGCTCTCGCGCCGCTTGTTCATTCTGCTGTCGGGTAAGCGAAACATTCCGCTGTTAAACTTCAGAACATGTGGGCCACACGGGAGGCCAGCAAACACAAGAGGTCCTGCAGAGAGGGCCATGACTTGACTCCGCTAACACCGAGGGATCCACTAATGTGAGTCAGTAAAGGTGTCAAACCTGAGGCTCTTGCGGGACGGGCATGCTGCGCCTGCACCCCCCCCCTCTCCCAACATTGCTCTGAGTGACCTCTGCTGCAGGAGAGTGGCTGCAGAGAAAGACGAGTGTTGGGGACAGGAGGTGCTGCCAAGAGACGATCATCCCAGACCAGCCAGGGAGCTACGGCAACCCATGCTGCCCCGCGTCGCCCCCTAGTGGGTCCCCTGCCAGTCCAGCATCCGCCTGCTCCCCACGGGACTGCTGGAGTGCCTCCGTGCACAGACAGGCGCCCCTCTCACCGTCCCGCGCACTCAGGAGACATCCTGCCGCCTGCTCTCTCTCAACAGCACGCTGTAGAGCCCGGTGAAAACAGCACCAGAGATCTGGGCCAATCCTGGCTCCGTGGGGTTCCAGTGAAATTCCAGTGAAGCGCTCCCCTCAGCCACGGAGCGGGTCACGCCCGGCACGCAGAACTCTCGGCTCCTACACATTTGGAGCGTGGGCCCGAGGCACGGGCTGCTGGGTGCTTATCGAAGAGGACAGAGGTCATGTGGTGGGGGGGGGAGTGGGCTGACTGCATTCAATTCCATCATGGGTTCCACCCCAAACAAGGGCAGCACAACAAAGTCAACCATTGTGACTCTTCTTTTACGTGACCCCAGAGAGAAAGAGAAAGAGGATGCTTTCAGAGATTAATCACCACAGCAAACACATTTGGAAAAAGGCCAAAAGAATGGAAATATATTTTTTTTACTAATGTTCAGGTCACTTTCTAAGAACACAGGGAAAATGGTGATTTAGCGGTCATTCTTAGCACATACACAGCTTCAGTGGTGTTTTTGCTATTATCCTGATTGCCAAGCACACATTTGTTTTAAAAGGAACAGAAACTAGGCTTAGTTTGCTGAACCTCATATGAAATAAGCAAGGATGTGATGTCCTGAGTGTTCTGAACAGCTTCATTTTAACTGCCAGTGTTTTGATGAGCTGCTGTTATTTTTTTAAATCCCTCCATCTTGCAGTGCATTAACAGTGCTGGGACCAGAACCTACAATAACACTGGATCTGCTCTTCATCTAAAGACATAAACCAGCAGGTTTTAAACATGGCAAGGTTTTAAACACGGCCTTCTCCCTGCAGTGCTGGGCTCAGTAACGCTGTGCTTTCTCTCGCTCTCGCGTCTGGAACACACGGCCTGGCGCTGATCCGATGATGTAACAGCCACCTCGAGGGGAGGGGCATCTCGCCTGTGAGCGTGTCCGTTCTTCGGCAGACCGCCACCACACCCCCCCGAGGCTTCCACACTCCGTGACCAAAGAGAAGCAGCTGGCCAGCCAGTCAACGCCACGGCGCCTTGCTCAAATCCGCGGGCCTGAGACTGAGAGTGAGCCAGGGGAGACGGGCGACGCGAGGGGATCTCCACCGGAGCGATCGGTGCAAAGCATCATGGTACATTCCTCAGAGCGAGAGAACCCCGGGTCTGCCCCTGCTGACCATGGCACCGCTGGACAACGCGGCAGCCCTCGAATTTCAGGCAGCTTTGCGATGGAGAAGGGACCACCCGTGCTGCCGTAAGCTGATTAACTGTTCAGTCTTACCGAAACTCTGTGCGAAACACAAACACTGCCTGCTAAAGGAGCTGGGGCAGTGAGGGGCTAAGCAAGGGACCACAGCACTGATCCACGTAAAGACCTCCACGGCCTGACCACGCTCCTACAGAACACAAACACAGACGGAAACCACCATGCATCTGCAGGCCACACGGGCACAAAGGCAGAGCGATCACACAAGGCGAGCATAAAAAAAATTGGCGAAACACCCACAGTGCCTCCTCCTGCTGACCGCTCTGGCCTCCGCCGCCACCAAGAGATTAGAGGCTAATGAGCCAGAGATCCCGACGCGAGAGGTCCTCCGAGCACAAACACACACACAGCACATGCGCAAACACAGGGGAAACGTACCTTAGAGAAGAGGGGTCCGGCCTGCTCACACAGAGGATACATGTGGCTGCTGGGTGCTGGGGGTTGTGGGGCGGGGGGAGAGGGGGCGTTTGCCTAAATCAGACACAGGGCCGCGAAGGCTTCACAGGCGAGCGAGAGGTCCTGCCGGGAGACTGTGCCGGAGGATCAGGGCCCTCCACCTGTCCTGTCACGGCAATAGGATCAGGTACAGCAGGCTGAGCTCCACACCACTTCCTTCTTGAACGCCCTGAGCCGGAAGCACTCCCCACTGACACGCTTCATTCAGCTTTCACTGCAGGGGAAGCCAAAGACCTGACCCTGGACCTACACCCTGACCACGCCCCCGACACCTAACCCCGCCCCCCCGTTACTCACTTTATTCTTCCCTATTCGCAGTGGCCTGAGGGGAAAAGATGCACCCACGGAGCCCCTCCCCCTGGCCAGGGCCAGCGGCCTGTGCCTGATCTATTCTTAGCAAGGGAGAGGTTTAGAGCGGCCCTCTGATCCCAGGCCGCGCTAATGCTGTGTGATAGCATCGCTGCTCAGGGACCGGGGGGCGGAGTCCTGCCCGAGAGATTAAGCCCATTTGCTCATTTCCTCCTTAACTGGGCTGACACGAGGCAGAAAATGGGTGCGAGATGAAAGATATGGGGCGCTCAGGTATCTGTTGTGCTGTGTAGCGCTGTGCTACTCTATGTTATGCTGTGCAGTGCTCTGCTATGCCACCTTGGGCAATGTTTTGCTATGCTGTGTTATCCTGTTCTGTGTAGTGTAGTGTAGTGCAGTGCAGTGCTGTTGAGCTTCCTGATCAGAGATACATGCCAGGTCCAGCTTTGTTCACTGAAGTGGAGGATCAGACGCTCTCTGTCCCAGAGCAGGGAGGCACTGGGCAGTGTCAACTGTCCCACGGCATCACACTGAGGGAAGGGAAGACCGGGACCCCAAAAATTCAACCCCTAGGCCTGCCCACGGTGCGGCCATCCACAACCACTGAGGACCGAAGGTACTGAAGCCTGACAAACTGGAGAGCCGTACTGCCAACCCGCAGTAACTCTGGAGTTACGGCAAATTACACCACAAGTATGTCCCTCTGCTAACTGCGATCTGCTGTCTGTATCACCGTTTCCCTATCCCCTGCACAGGGCTGCTCGGGCCCTACAGCCACCTCAGACCTCAGAGCACAGTGACACCACCCACACTGCAGGGGGCGTCGCTGCAGGACGCTGACGTCACGCCGGGAGGATGGAGCCGGAAGAGCCCCGGGCCCTGAGGAGTACCAGACCCCACTTCTGTTAACTGTTGCGTTACAATAAACACTTGGCCAAACACCATGGTTAATGTGATGGGAAACAGCCCCTTGTCAATGTGATTTATCTTAACACGCACGCACACGTACGCATATGCACGCGCACACACACACACACGAACAAGCACTCATCCAAGCAAATCAACAAGCACACACACACACACACACACACACGCACACACACACACGCACACACAAATGGAGACACTCTCTAAACAGCTTCATCTGTAGATGAGTGGGGCGCATTAGAAAAGAAGCAGCACGGAATGCCTGCAAAGGGCCAAAAATGTGCTGAGAGACAGCCAACTGTTTGAGGAGGATTTCCGCCACATACTCCATACGAACACCGGCCTGCGCTGTGCCCCTGCATCGGGCCTGGCCGGCCTTAATGTTTCACCGACACTCCTGACTGAACGGCACCAAATAAAACTGTCGGCACATCCTCGCCCCGCAGGCCTGTCTGAGGGGAAACTGCACTGAAAGAGGGCTTTTTCCACTGCGGAGGCAGGAAAGAATGAAAAGGGGCTTGCTGCGGAGAAGAGCAATCCTTACATTACTGTCATTTAGCAGACGCTCTTACCCAGAGAGACTGACATAGTTTAGTTTTCACGCGTTGTCCATTTACTGAGGCAATTCTGGGTTAAGCACACTGCCCATGAGAGCAGCAGCGTGTAATGAATCAAACCGTTACATTACATTATTGTCATTTAGCAGATGCTCTTATCCAAAGCAACATAAAGGAGACACAAATTTTAAATGTCATCCATCTATACAGCTGGATATATACTGAGGCGATTCTGGGTTAAGTACCTTGCCCTAAGGTACAACAGCAGTGTCGCAGTGGGGAATTGAACCAGCGACCCTTTGGTTACAAGCCCTACTCCTTGCCACTACGCTATACTGCCAATCATCCTCCACACACACACAGTTCCTCTGGAGAATCTGCCTGGACGCCCCAACTGGCAGCAGGTCACTTAGCGGCCGAGTAGGCATAGAGCAGAGAGGAAGAGCAGGGAAGGGGCTTACTCCCCTGCTGTGGGCCAGCTCCTTAAGACCCCCAAAAAAAAAGCCCCAGCTAGTATCGGGTTCTTCGCGGAGCTAATTCTGCCCGGCTCCAGTAATCAGCACGGAATGCGGGGAAAGGAGCATTTACACAACCGAGGGGATTTGTGCCGGGATCAAAGGTCAGAGAGGGACACTGCCTGTGAGCACATCAGAAGCCAATCATAGGGGACGGTGGAGCCGGTGGAGGTGCTTTTACAAGCATCTGCCCAAAATCAAGCAATCACTGCCTCCAAGCACCGAATGGATGACACAGGGTTGAGAACTATATTGACTGTGGAGTCACGTCAGTCTCCCAACTTGCTGCTGACTGAAAGAAGTCTGTAGTTAACAACCACCTTTCTAGCCACTACCTCTACAATCTTTTGCACTAAAACAAGAGCAAAGGGCACTAGTTACGATTTCAAGGATTACTCAGGTTCAGCCTCTGGACTCCAGCCACAAAAAGCACCAGGTGTGGCTCCATAAGCTCCACCACAAGGCAGAAGATCGCAGCTCCAGACCCATGCATTTGAAGGCAACAGGAAGTGGGCAGGTTTGGGCTTGTCTGGAGTCTAGTCGGATACACACCTCTAACAGTGTGACACAGCCTGGCCAAACCCACATATCCTCAGCTCAGGGAGTAGAGTGTCTGACCTGAGGGGCAGTGCCGCAGAAGGTGCTGACAGAGAGACACAAACACAAACACATGCGCATGCATGCACACACACAAACACTCCGATGTCCCCATCCTGAGGTGACCAGCTTCGACAGAACATCATCATGTTAACCTGCATCTTGGGAGAAAAAGACAATATGGAACTTTCCCAATCATACTCTACATGTACAGAGAAGGCAATGCAGCAAGGGAGCACATTGTTTTGAGAAAATGGATAGAGGGACCACAGTTGACCGCCACATTGACCATGAAAGAGTATGCACTACAAAAGGAGTGGGAGAGTGGGGGTCAGAGGTCAGTTTAGCCACCCCTTGTTTAGCAACGGGGGCCACCCTGTCCCGAGGCCCACGGCATGCCGGGACACACCGCGGTGACCCCTGTGGTTCAGTAATGTGACCAAGGGATCGGGCAGCCATTATTACAAGGCATAGCTGTCACCACCGGACTGACAGCTGACCAATAACGGTTATTTAAACTGCACCCTGCACTGAGGTCCCAGCTAGGGAAAGTGGAAAAATGCATAAATACTACTGGCTTGAGGAAGGATAATATATGTACTGCATTCCAAAAGGGAAAGGGATTTGGGTTAATACATAACTCATGCACAGAGGAAGATAAATATTTACTATGTGCACTGTGCTTCGCTTGCAGCTCAATCTTTAGTCCCCATATTCAGAGGAGCGTCTTGACTGTTGTCAAATGGACTGAATGAAACATTGCAAAGACCTGGAAACGTAACGTCCTGACCATAAAATAAGCTTCACAACATCCCAGAGTTATGCATTAATGGACTTGTCTCACCACAGTATTGCCCCGGAGTAAAGAGTCACTGGGTTATTCTGTCATGGGGGGGAAGGCGGATGTCTCCACCGTGGGGGGGTTTCACCTGGCCTCTGTGTCAGTTCACATCATTATTCAAGTTATACACACACTGACCGGACACCATGGACTGCCACCTCGAACCCACGCCTTGACCCCGTTCGGCTGGCCGGGCGACTGCAGCTGGAGCATGCCTTGACCCTGTTCCTGCCGCGGCGCAGCGGCCGGAGTTTTACGGTTTCCAGGTCAGCCACCAGGGGCCCCCGGTTTGTTTCGATTTACCCTCTCTTCATTATGGAGGGAGACGGGGAGGAAATGAGACAGGGGGACGACTGCACAAACAGCTGCGGGCACACACGGCACCTGCAGCTCCGCTCCGACCTCATTCTGCACAGACACACACGCAGACATAACCACTCTCTCTCTCTCACACAGTGACAGGCACGGACGCATACTTTCACACACTGCAAATCACACCAATGCACACACTGCATTCTCTCTTTATCACTCATTATCACCCGCACCACACACCTCAATGCACGCTCACACATTTACACATTCACAAAAAGTATACACACTGTACACACACACTTTAAATAGACACACACACATAGACATTTTCTTTAACTTATTTACTCACTCACTCAGTCTGTACAGTGTGCAGTGTGCAGTGTGCAGTGTGCAGTGTGCATGTCAGTGCCGCTTTTCTGCAAAGACCATGAAGCTCCATTCTCTCCCGGGACTGAAACATGGTGATCCGAGCAGGAGATTTGTGCCCTGTGTGTGCACCTCTGAAGGTAACAGAGGGCCCTGGGCAGGCCCAGGGGGAGAGAGAGTCGCTGCAAATCGGCTTCAGCGCCTTTCACCGCTAATCCGCCCTGTCACACGGGGGCCCGGCGCCGGCGGCCCGGCAAACAGCGGCACGGGGCGGTCCAGAGAGGGGCAGCTCGCACGGCGCATACCGAGCGCGCTAAGGAAGGGTCACGGGAGAACGTCAGGCTGACGCGAGGGGAGGCAGCGCTGCCTCAGGCGCCTCCGGCCGAGAGAGGAAGCCCACACTCCGCTCCGATTGGACGGCTGATGCTGAGAGGGGGTTGCCATTGGTTAACGTGATATGCAGTAACGAGGTGGAGGGGAATCAGGGACAGGGAAACAGCATGCAAAACCAGCACCGGGGAGTATACAAATCGCTGGCAAATGCACTCGCAAGGGCGCGATTATCGCGGCGTTCCTCGTTCCTCCCACACCTCGTACAGCTATGTGCTGTAATCCTCCTAAGAGATAACTCATTGTTCTGGCTGGGCCGCCGCCCTCCCTTTGTTCCGTGGGCAACTTGCGAAAAAAAAACAACACAACACCGCCCGCCGCTGGATTGCGCGCAAGCCCTTTGTGCCGGCATTCGGGCTCTGAATGCCTCGGCCCCCGTCCGGAGAGCGGCAGAACATTCGGCGCGGGGAGAGGCGGCCAAGACCTTCCTCTGTACACACACAGGGGCGCAAGAGAACAGAGGCATACAGCAGGTTGGGGACATGGTGTCCTTGTGTCATTAAAGCGCTTCCCTTTTTTTTTAATGAGGGGGTGAGAGAAAACTCTGTGAGAAAACCATCAGGCCAATCAAGCAAATTAAAGAAACAAAGAACTTCCAAGAGGGCTCCCTCTTTCTTTGTGAAAGTACCCAGAACAAAAAGACAATTTTTACATAGTGAGATGGTTGGAGATAGAATAGTGAGGGAAAATGCTTCTTGGCCCTGGTGTTTCCTCGCACTTGGATCAACACTTAATGTGACTGAATTAATAGCCTTTACCCAGGCTCAACACTGACTGCGCTAACAGCTCAGACAGTAAACACCACTGTGATTCCAAGGCCTGCTTTCAGTAACGAGACATCCGCCCTGGCTGTCACCGTACAAACACAGAGGGGAGAATATTTGTTTAAAGCTCTGCGGCTGTCGTCATGGTCTTTAAAGAGGGCCTGCGAGGGCTGCTTTATTCCTGCAGCCAGTGAGGGACAGAGGTGCTGAACCCGGGGCAGGCAGGGGGGCGGGCAGGAGGCGGGCCTCCCTCTGGGAGCTGGAGGACTCGGCAGCCTTGCCTCCATTGAGCCAACGGCCCAAGATTCATTCACAGTGGCCACTGGCACGGGGTGGACAGGAGGAGCTGGTCAGTTCCGGAGGGCAAGAAGCCCCCACGGCCGTGCAGAATGCAACGGAAACAACCAGGAAAGACACCGACAGCGCTCCAAGCCCTGACTGACGGAGTCCTGGGGGGACGGAAGCCTGGACACAGCACTCCCCATCCCCATTCGCTGATCCCTGCCACACTGCACTCAGGCTAAGCTTTTCCCAAGCCTCTGGGGACACTGGACCGCAGAGGGAGGCGAGGAAACAAGCCGTCAACAGCCAAAACCCAGAGCGCACCTCATTTGCATTCTGCCAGGAAAGATGGAGCCTAACTCACAGAAGCCTCCCACCTGTTCTCTCTTCCTCCCGGCACGTCCCGTTATATAATTTCGTTAAACATTAATGGACCGCGCCGTTTGCGAGCTGGCAGCGCAGCAGCCCCGCAGATGGGGCGCAGAGAGGGCCGGCTCTCTGACCGCGCGGAACTGCTCTCCGCCAGAGAAACGCTCCACCGCACAGCGCACAGCGCACCGGGCTCCTCCATTATTCAGCCCGCCTGCAGGAGGCTCCTCTAAATAATTAAAGCGCAACGACACAGAGCGAGAGAAGAACAAACCAGGGGCAGGATACAGCACCCAGCTGCACTGCCCAAGCCCCCTGAAAAACTCTCCGCTGAAACATAGTCATGTAAGAGCCCATGACCTGGTCACGTGACCTCCGAGTCACATGGGCCATGGTAGGAAAACAACCACCTCCAATGGGCTCAGTACTCAGAGCCCCGTCAACATTTCCTGGCGTGCCTCATGGTTATAGATGCACATCTCTCTCCCAGCACAGAGATAATCCTCCAACACAGAGATATGATACATACAAAGCACACAAGCTATTTTCAGGGTACGCGAGCATTAGCGAGCGTTGCTGCGGGTTAGATCCGACCGGGCGTGTCATACGCTGGTACCGCGGCGTGTTTATAGGGATGCAAATGCTGGCTGGCGGGAATGGGTGGACCACGGAGGCCGGCCGGATCCACCTCTGATCCTGCTTCCAGCCGAGTTCACACCAGTTCAACGCTCACCAGACATTTAAAGTCTGTACGCCTCGCTCGCATTCCAGACAACTCCCTCGCCGTCTGCTCCGCTCGGCAACGCTGATCCCTTATCAGTGCTCTGTGAGTCAGATGAAGGAATCCCCCGCTGAGCGCTGATCAGAGGTCAGTGCTGCTGAGGGAAGCGCAGGGATCGAGGAA